GTTTGACTTTATTTTGTTGCCTGCGTTAATTAATGTGAGTCTGCCCAGATGCTGGGCTTTGCAAAGGGAGAGAAGGCCCAAACTACCGCTTAAATAATTTGGCCTCTTTCCTTCTCCAGAGCTTCACACTATGGGGCAGGTTTTCTGTGCCAGGTCTGACAATTACTGAATTCATCTCCCAGAATTCCCTATGAACATGAACTGAGAATTCTGGGTATTCTAAAATTTAAAGTCAGTACATCTAGGGGGCATCAAGTAGGGGAAGAAAATACAGTTAAGGTGACCAACTTTTTTACAATGAAAAGGAGGACACAAATAAATTGAAGAAAAAAATATCGTAAATAAAAGAAATTTTATTCATTGCAACAATAACACAGACAACTTGCATGTGCAAAGTTTGTTGGCCAGGTGTTTTGGCGCACTCAGCAGCAATTCCTATTGGCTTTCGAAAGCCAATAGCGGGAGTAGCACAGCTCATGCAAAAGTTGAAAAAAACCCATCAAAAAAAGGTGCCAGAACACCGTTCTGAGCATTCTATGAGGAAAAAAAAAAAGCCCTGCAGATTAGTCTTCAAATATCGAAAAGGAGGACATGTAGGAGGACACTTTTTGAGGGAGGACAGAACTTACAAAAGGAGGACTGTCCTCCCTAAAGGAGGACGGTTGGTCATCTTAATACAAGTAGACTATATAATTGAGCCCATTGCTAAGCAAAACAATTGTTAAATGGGTGTTGCCCGCATTTTGCAACCTTTCTTGCTACAGTTTTTAAGTGTATCACTGCAGATGTTAAGTTAGTAACACGGTTGTTAAGTGAATCTGGCGACCTTATTAACTTGGCTTGTCGGAAAGTCACAAAAGAGGATCACATGACCCCAGGACACTGCAATCATCATATAAATACCTGCCAGTTGCGAAGTGTCCGAATTTTGATCCCGTGACCACAGGGATGCTGCGATGGTTATCAATGTGAAAGACGATCATAAGTCACTTTTTTCAGTGTCGTTGTTACTTTAAACCAGGGGTAGGCAACCTTGGCTCTTTTATGACTCATGGACTTCAACTCCCAGAATTCCTCAGCCAGCATGGCTCAGCTTGGAAACCTCTCCCTTTCCCCTCAGCATGGCTGGCTCAGGAATTCTGAGAGTTGAAGTCCACGAGTCATAAAAGAGCCAAGGTTGCCTACCCCTCCTTTAAACGGTCACTAAAGGAATGGTTGTAAGCTGAGGACTACCTGTGTATCAGTGTGTGAAAGAGCACATTCATAAGATTGCTTCCAAAGACTAATAACCCATCAATACCATCTCAATCTGAATGAGAGAAGTGAGGTTGCAGATGACAGAAAAAGGAAATGCTTAATCCTGGCTCTGCTCCCTGCTTTTTTTGAGGGGGGGGGAAATCAGCCATTTTTTTCTTGAATTGCCTATAAATAAATAAACTGTAGTAGAAGAAAAACATCTGGGCAAAGCTTCAAGCTTAGCTATTGTAAATCGGTGGTAAGACGAGTTCAGGAAATCCTGCCTTTGCCCCAGGACAGACGTCAGTGTGCATATAAATTTGATAAACACTATAAACTTCTACTTTAGTAAGCCCCAAGTAGATTTGTAGCTTTATCTGTGAGTGGTGCATAATTGACTATGCTCTCTGCGTCAGCTTTTTTATATCCGACATTGATGGATTGACTTTCTGGTAAAGGAAATAAACACCAAAGGAAACATAGGAGATGGAATGAAGCTTCAGCCCTCTCTTTTGCAGTAAGGCCACACTTGGAACACTGCATCCAGTTTTGGTGGCCACAATGTAGAAAAGATGTTGAGACTCTAGAACAGTGGTTCTCAAACTTTCTAATGCCGTGACCCCATAATACAGTTCCCCATGTTGTGGTGACCCCCAAGTGGGTGTGGCCACAATAAGAGGGAGTAGGACAGCTAGGGAAAAGGGAAAAAAATGGCGGACAGCGTCGTTTGGCGACCCTCGTGAAATGATCGTTCGACCCCAAATGGGGTCCCGACCCACAGGTTGAGAACCACTGCTCTAGAAGGAGTGCAGAGAAGAGCAACAAGGAAGATTAGGGGACTGGAGGCTAAACATATAAAGAACGATTGCTGGAATTGGGTATGTCTAGCTTAATGAAAACAAGGACTAGGGGGGACATGACAGCAGTGTTCCAATATTTGAGAAGCTGCCCCAAAGAAGAAGGGATCAATCTATTCTCCAAAGGGCCTGAAGACAAAACAAGAAGCAATGGGTGGAAACTAATCAAGGAGAGAAGCAACCTAGAATTAAGGAGAAATTTCCTGACAGTGAGAACAATTAATCAGTGGAATGGTTTGTCTTCAGAAGTTATGGGTGCTCTAACACTGGAGATTGGACAGCCATTTGTCTGAAACTGGACAGCCATTTGTCTGAAATAGTATAGGGTCTCCTGTTTGAACAGAGGGTTGGACTAGAAGATCTCCAAGGTCCCTTCCAGCTATTTTTTTTTTTCACTGCCCTTGTAAATTGGAACGTTTGTAAGTCTTAGGTTTGATCAAATTCCCAAAAGTTGAGTTACCGTAGGAGTCTGGTCCCTGCTAGCAAAATGCTTCTTATTGTGACTATTGATGGAGTCTTGCTGGGTGGGAAGGCAGAAGCTTCTTCCAGACATCCTAATCTCTTTCTCCCTAACCTTACTCCGTCTTCAGAGGTCTGGATATGGTTGATCTCAGCAGCTAAGAAAGGTCAACTTGGGTCAATACTTGGGTGTCAAAGCACCTGGAAAGTTGGAAAAAAAAAAAAAAACCACTCTGGAAGAAAGCTAAAGCCAAACTGTTTATATAACGCTGTCCAGAAAACTGCATGCATGCAATCGCCAAGAATCAAGTCCTATTTAAGAACATCTTTAACCTCGTGTGGCCTTTTGGACTGAGCTACTTAAAGGGGTGGCATGCTGTTAAAAATGCAGGGGGGGGGAGGAGACCCGCACACACTACATTGAGCCCCTTGTAGCAAAATTACTTTTTTTTAATATAAAAGCAGTAAATAAATGCAATCGAGGTTGAGAAGTGATGAGAACTCAAAGAAGCAGGGCATTAAGGAGAAACTTGACTTCCTCTGAACCACAGGCAAACTTAGCTTGATGGGTAATTTCCACACATTTGGAGGAGACCAGGGAGAGAAGAGGTACCTTTCTTCCACGTTTTTCAACCAGATCAGCAGAAACTTGATTTATTTATCTATTGACTTACTGACCCCTTCCTTGGAAGAAGTGGACTGAGACTAGAATCTCAAGCTTTTGAGAACAAGGGAAGCCTTCAGATTGCATCTTTTTATTAAAAAATGGTGTGAAAGGAAGGCTTGGCCACTGGCCCTCCTCTGTCCTCATAAGGATGGCTATTTGTCCTTCTCCCTTCCCCTGCCAGCTGGGCCCAGGCCTGTGAAGGGAAGTCAGAAACATTCTCTTTGTGTCAATGACCTCTAAGTAACAGTATCTTTCCAGGAAAGCCAGTTTGCTGATTACTTGGAAATATTTTTCCCATCCACAGTTATTGGAGGACTGCTTGTGCTAGAAAACAGAATGGATCTTTTTAAAGTTTATATGCATGCATACATACATACCTCTGTGTCACTAAAGGGTCTATTTCTCTTCCTTTAGAACAGTGGTTCTCAACCTGTGGGTCGGGACCCCATTTGGGGTCGAACGACCATTTCACGGGGGTCACCAAACAACGCAGTCCGCCATTTTCCCCCCCTTTTCCTTAGCTGTGCTACTCCCTTTTATTCTATTGGCTTTTGAAAGCCAATAGAATAGAGTCTCTTGAATAGAGTCTAATTCTATTGGCTTTCAAAAGCCAATAGGAATTGTCCAGGCTGTCTCTGCCCTGCTGAGCCTACCAAAAGTCCCATTCTGCAAACAGTGCTGCACCAGTTGAGTAGTCCTCGACTTACGACCGGTTGAGTAGTCCTCGACTTACGACCGGTTGGGGGGGTCGCAGCATTAAAAAGGTTGAGAACCACTGCTTTAGAAAGTACGTGCTAGTTTTTGCAGAAGTTCGCAACAGCCAAATATTAACCAGGTCAGAATCCTTATGCATAGGAGACAGTTGGTTATCTTGATTTGCGAGAACACTTTGCTTCACATTTAAAGCAACAGAGGATGGATTTTAGAATAGAGCTGGAAGAGATCTTGGAGGTTTTCTAGTCCAGAGGTCTCCAGCCTTTTGGGAACCATGGAGAGAGGTTTTCCCGCAGACTGGAGGGGGCATGGTTTTGTGTGCTGCCTACATCCTGCAGATGGGACTGTGTTTTTTTTGTGCGGACCTGTTGCTGGCATGCCACGGCCTGGTCCACAGCCCGGGGGTTGGGGACCTCTGTTCTAGTCTACCCCTTTGCTCAAGCAGGAGACCCTATACATTCTCAGGCAAGTTGCTGTCCAGTCTATTCTTAAAAATCTCTAGTAATGGAATCCCCACGATTTCTGAAGGCCAGCTGTTCCACTGGTTACTTGTCCTCACTGTCAGGAAGTTTCTCCTTAATTCCAGGTTGCTTCTCTCCTTGATTAGTTTCCAACCATTGTTTCTTGTCCTGCCCTCTGGTAGATCTTAAATATTTTTAATTTTATTTTGTTGAATGTTTTCAATCTACAGAGAAGTCCTAAATCAAATGCAGACATTCAGTAGGAAAGTACTCTCAATGGATAAGCTTCTGGCTTGGGGAAGCATTTTATTTTTGTAGCCTACAATAAACAGCTAGCTACTTAATGTACGGAGAGCAAAAGAGATTTCTTATGCCCACTTATTAAATGCCAATTTGTGAATTTAAATTCGTTTCTAGACAAATTTCATCCAGAATTCAATAGCAAGGGAGAAACATTAGAGTGTGTGTGCTTGTGTGCGAGTATATTTGGGTGCCTTCTGCCTCTTTGCACATCAATTACCTCTATTTTTTAACACAGTGATGCCCAGATGCTGTCTGAAACAACCATATACACAGCTAACTGCCAGTTGCCTCTTTCTTTTGCAGATGATGAAGTTTGCTTGGGATAACTACAAGCAATATGCCTTGGGGAAAAATGAACTGAGACCTCTCACTAGAAATGGACATATCGGGAACATGTTTGGTGAGTTGAACTTTAATGTTGCTGAAGTGAACATGATGGCTGGTCTGTTTCCTAAATGCATAGCAACAGGCAATCAGACTAGAATACATATTTTGAGGAGTGACTAAGTGCATAATGGACTCACACACCCCTCCTTTAGAACAGATATATAAATAAAAGACAATTGGTAGATCAGTTAGTTCTACCGAATTACAATACAACTTAGTTCTACCAACCATCAATTGGCTGGCCCTTAGAATAGCTTTGAAACCGCTTTGATACTGCCACCGTCAGCCTAGTGTAGTATAATAATAATAATAATAATAATAATAATAATAATAATAATAATAGTAATATTAATAATAGTAATAATATGGGATCATAAAATAGAGGAAGTCATAGAAAATGATAAAATTAAACTGCTCTGGGACTTCAGAATTCAAACAGACAAGCACCTGCAACATAACACCCCAGACTTAACAATTGTCGATAAGAAAGACAAAAAAGTCTGGATAGTGGATGTGGCAGTGCCTGGAGATAGCAGAATAGAAGAGAAAGAACTGGAGAAGATAACAAAATACAAAGACCTACAAATAGAAATAGAAAGACTGTGGCAAAAGCAAGCAAGGGTAGTACCAATAGTAATAGGCTCCTTGGGTGCAATCCCAAAACAACTGGAGCACCACTTGAACACCATTGGCATTGACAAATTCACTATTAGTCAATTGCAAAAGGCGGCCTTACTAGGAACTGCTTCCATCTGCGACGATATCTGTAATACCATCAAACATCCACATCTGCCTATCCCAGGTCCTGGGTAAGGACTCGATAGGTAGACAAAATGCCAAATCCAGTCTGAACATCTGGCTGACTGTGCGATGATCAATAATAATAATAATAATAATGTTGGAAGGGACCTTGGAGGTCATCGAGTCCAACCCCCTGCTCAGGCAGGCAGGAAACCCTACACCATTTCGGACAGATGGCTGTCCAGTCTCTTCTTGAATGGTACCATCAAAATCTCAGTGGTGGCAGAAGAAAACATAGGTTCTCAAAACCGACCTAGGTCATTGGAAAGGACATAAACTATATACGACAGGAGGAGAATAAGAATACAGTGGTACTTTCAACTGCTTTGAAACTCATCGAATTTGGTACTCAAAATTTTGTCCTGGTATTCATTGTTTGGAATTCAACGCACAAGCTAGAACTTGTCAGTGTTGGCTGCCTTGTGACTAGCTACATTATTCTTTATGGGAAAAAATTGTTTAGTACTTGTCATTTTTGGTACTCATCACGCCTCCTGGAACCAATTAATGATGAGTACTGAGGTACCACTGTAGAGGAAAACTGCAGCAGAAAGATGAGAAAAGTGTTGATGAAGATTCTCGATCATCCAGGTAGAGTTGTCTGGAAGTTGAGTCATGGCAACTGGATTTCTTTTCATGTTGATGTGAAACATTTTGCTGCTTATCCAAGTAGCTTCTTCAGTCTGAGCAAGTTGGTTAGGGGGACCGCATATATGTCCTCCAGGGAGGTTAGGTGAGATATGAAACCTAGTTACCATGATTCAACTTCCAGACAAAGAGGGAAAACCTTCCTTATATTCTTTTGTATAGTTGCAAGAGTTTGCCACTGAAATTAGTGATGAAGATGGCCGTAAAAGAAATCCTCATTTGAAATCTAATATTAACTGATTGTTCTACTTCTTACTGGCACTTCTAGTCTGGAAGATGCGCGTGTACACGCGCGCGCGCACACACACACACACAGACACACACACACACACACAGAGTCCAGCAAATGTTTTTCAAGCTTGACAACTTCAGGATGTGCAGACTTTGACTCCCAGAGCTGAAGTCTACATATTTATTTATTTATGAGACTTATATACCGCTTTAAGTGCAAGCACTCTCTAAGCAGTGTACACCAGTAAGCAATGTATATATATATATATATTTACATTGCCCCCAACAATCTGGGTCCTCATTTTACCTACCCCGGAAGGATGGAAGGCTGAGTCAACCTTGAGCCGGTGAGATTTGAACCTGCTGACCTGCTGAACACAGTCAGCTAAAGTGGCCTGCAGTACTGCACTCTAACTGCTGCGCCACCTCGGCTCGTGGAAAATATGGAACGCTTCACGAATTTGCGTGTCATATCTTAAAGTTGCCAAGTTTGAAAAACACGGGTCCAACTTCTAGATGGAGAAATGGGGACCAAAGTTCCCATTTTTGTAATGGCAGGTGGGCTGCATAACATGGGTGCCTGTGCTATACCATGCTGAGAAATTCCCGCTGGAATTCCGACTTCCTCTTCTGCCATTTCATGTAGTTAAAGGACTGAGAGTCTCAAGGAGCTGAAGGCTAATTTGAGCACTTGACGGTAGATAGCAAAGAGATCACATCTCAGTCATTTCATTCATACCTTGACAGGCCACTGCTCATCCCATCTCTTGGAGTGGCTGGCTATAAAACTAAATTTCAGAGCAACAGATCATAAAAATCGCATCAAATGAGAGGCAGCGAGATCATAAAAATCAAATGGCACTGCCGTGCTTGACTCTAAACAGTTTTTGAAAGAAACTGATTAAGTGCAGCTCTTACACTCAGGTTTCTAACCAGTCTGCAAGAGCTTCTGCTCAGAAGAGCGAGAATAGATGAGTTTCAGAGATTAGAGTCAGTGGGTGGTTTTACTCCCCCCCACACTACTAAGCCCCCAGCCATATCACATAAAGCTTTCAAAGTCCTCTCAATTCAGATGCAATTTGCTTGATTTAAAACAGACTACTGGTGGAGAAACTTAAGCCCAAAGCTTTTTATTTGTCCAAAACTAGCTGCTGTTAGGGAAGGGGGGAGGTTACTTTTGCGAAATACTGACTATGTGGATCAATATTCAAGCTTTGCTCCTTGTGCTGGTTGGTTTGCGTAATTTCCCCTAGCAGGCTGCAGTGTTTTGGGTAACTCAAACTCTTAACCCTGCTTAGAGCTAGCAAGCTTCCTCCCTCAATAAGCTTTGTTTGTCAGCATAGCTCCTTGCCAGTTTTTAATTTAAACATTCAGTATTATGCTTGATCTTAATAGGCAAGACCGAAAACATCACAGTTGTTCCAATCTGGACACAGTTATTTAAGCAGGGTTTTGGACCGTTGCCGTATGGCAAACATGATGATTGCTAACAGCGTTGCTGGGCCACCATATGTAGCTGGATGCCTGCCTGTTATATCTAATTAAAGCTGGATAGACAATCTTGTAAGTTTATCAGCTGATATGACAATTACTTCCCTTGAAGCTTAGTTGTTCTTATTAAACCTGTAGCATCCTTTCTGAATAAACCCACCAGAAAATTATGGGGCCAGCTGCGGGCCCGTTGTGACTCCTTTGTGACAGGTAGGAGGCAACAAAGCAAACTGTTTGTGTGTGTGTGTGTGATGACGATGCATCTTTTCTTACCTAAATTGCCATGATCAGTGTCTGGAGTAGCATTGTCTGCAGCTCATTTTGTTAAGAGCTTTTGAGTAGCTTTTGATATATATGATCTTAATTTGTTGTTTGGAAGATTTGGCTGGTCTTTTTTTTTTCTTTTATTAAGATGATCTTAGAGGCTGTTACCGGGAAAATCTCTTTTGACCTCTAGGATATGCAATATGATGGATCTTTTTATATAAAACCCATTGGGGAAAAAAAACAATGCAGATAATTGTGGACGGTTCTCAGTTTGTATGCAAAAGACATTCATTTCTGCATGGCTTAGTAAATAGAGCCAGGAGCGTTACAATCCCTTTGCAAACATTGGTGAGATGAGAGGGTTCAGAATTCAGATGGATTGTGGTTTTTTTTTTGGAACCAATCTTATGCAAATATTTTGCAAGACTTTTTCAGAATGCCATTTTTAATCCTGAAATCTCTGGTAGCTACATCTTGCCACATTCTGATACTGTTTTGAGCAGCACATTCCCTGGCATGAGTCCATCTACCTGCTGAGCTGATTGTTTAAACCAGGGGTCTTGAAACTTGGCCCTTTTATGGCTTGTGGACTTCAACTCCTCAGGGTTGGCTGAGGAATTCTGGGAGTTGAAGTCCACAAGTCATAAAAGGGCCAAGTTTCAAGACCCCGTGGTTTAAATTCTCTTTTGCTGTTCCCTTCTGATTCTGACATTAGATAAGGTGGGAAGAGAACAAAATGGGTGGTGCCTAAATTTGACAAATAAATAAACAGAACTTTGTGGTCATGGAATAACTCACACTCCCATCTGATATCCATACTCATGCACTGTTGGTGGTTTTTGTTATTTGTTTTGGCAATGTTTACATTTTGCATTATGTTTTTTATTGGACCCTTTTCTATTCTACACTTCCTTTGAAGATTGGAAAGCTCAGATTTGAACGTTAATGCCAAGCAAGGCTATCCAAGCAGATTGTGTTGAATTCAGAGAAGAGCAACTAAGGTGATCAAAGGCCTGGAGACTAAAACATATAAAGAATGGCTGCAGGACTTGGGTTTGGCTAGTAGTCTAAAGAAAAGAAGAACCAGGGGAGACATGATAGCAATATTCCAGTATTTGAGGGGCTGCCACAAAGAAGAGGGGTCAGGTTATTCACCAAGGCACCAGAGGGCAGGAGAAGAAACAATGGTTGGAAACTGATCAAAGAGAGAAGCAACCTGGAATTAAGGAGAAACGTCCTGATAGTGAGGACAATTAACCAGTGGAACAGCTTGCCTCCAGAAATTGTGGGCAATCCATCACTGGATATTTTAAAAAAGACAGTCACTTGTCTGAGATGGTATACGTTCTTCTGCTTGAGCAGGGAGCTGGACTAGAAGACCTCCAAAGTCCCTTCCAATTCTATTCTATTCTATTCTATTCTATTCTATTCTATTCTATTCTATTCTATTCTATTCTATTCTATTCTATTCTATGTTATAAGGGAACAAACTCAGAAATACGACAACTGAATTCTCACCAAAACTGCATCTTGTGTCCTAAATCAATGTTTTCCAGTTTGACATCTTTAAGACAT